ACAAGGCTGTGAAAGGTTTCAAAACAACAATTTTTCCACTCTTCCTCCTTCTACCCCAGTAGAGAAACTGACTTGAGGTGATGTGAAAAAAAAATGAATTAATGAGAAAATAATATTTATTAACAGAAGGCTACTTATTTCATTGCTGTAGCAAATAACAAAAACAATCACATACCCCGCGTCACATATACACCCCCGTGAAATATAGGAAAACTTGAAATTACGTGAAAACATCTTGTCTCATAAATCAGGCAGGCAAAATTCTTTGACTTTGAATATCTTAATAACGACACCGAATAATCTTACGGTCTTGATAGAGCAGAAACATCATTTGGTATCTGACCTCATGGTCTTAATAATTCGAAACGGCCAGAAATGTCAGATAGAACTTTGTATTTCTGAGGTAGCAACTTGGCAATCTCTCTCCTCTGCTCTTTTACAATAATATAATATTGTAGGCTGCTGTATGATTCACACCTTGCAAATCCAAAATTATGCCTAGTTATTTCGGGTTTTGTCTGCATCAGTGGTTTTGGAGTAAATCATAGGCACTTTTCCCTTCTTCAAAGATAAAATAACTCACGTTTTCATTGATGTCACATTTGAGCGTGCAATGTCACATTTGAAAAAGAAATTGTGCTCTGTTTGAAGTTGCTATGTTCACATTTGATCTTAGAAAGTATGTCATAGTATTAAAACAAAATAGGTGTCACATGAACTTTAAATGTCACAAAAACTTCACCAAGGTTAGATTTTCTCTTGCTATATTACATTTGAACTCGCTATGTTCACATTTGAAGGGGAAATAAAACTTCGAAAAAATAAGACATGAAATAAGAAATGGATTTGATCATGAACGGCCTATAGATTTGAACTAAACAGCTCGAAGTCTGCCGACTGCCTCTTATTCTTTTAAAGCAAAAGTTCAACGAAACAATATATTTTTAAAATCTCCCCATCCCCCCTTCCCTTATTTATACCGATGTGTGTTCTTAGTTGTGTGTGTGTGTGTGTGTGTGTGTGTGTGT